TTGCGAATTCGTAGTATTCAACTCAGTATGAAAAGCAATTCTTGAAACTTCCCTGGAAATCTAGGAGTAGTTAAAAAAAATTCTCGGACCATCCCAGAAGTACTCGGACTTCGCAAAACATTCTCGAAATTCCAGAAGGTCCAGGAAATTTCGAGTACTTTTCAAAAAATCCGAGAACTATCCTGGAGATCTGAGAACTTTCCACAAATTAAGCGAACTTCCAAGAAATTCCGGAAATTCCCAGAATTTACGAAAGCTTCCCAGAATTAGCGAGAGCTCCCACAATTTTCTAAAACTTCTCAAAAACTCCTAAAACTTCCCAGAAGTTCTGTGTACTTCTCACAAATTCCGAGCACTCCTAGATCTAGGTCTTCTAGATTTCGGAACGTTCCAAAAATTCCGAGCGTTTCCTAGAAGACCCACAAACTTCTTCCTAGCAGATCCAAGAGCTTCCCAGAAATTCCTATAACTTTCCTAAAAAATCCGAGAATTTCCCAGAAGATCTAAGAAATTCTCTTAACTTCCTAGAAGATCCAAATACTTCCCAGAAATTCTGAGAGTTTTTGAGAGCTTTCCATAAGTTCCGAGAATTTCTCCCAAGATCTGAGAGCTTCCCAGAAAAAAAATGCATGCATTTACAACAAATTCCAATAGCTTCCCAAAAATTCCAAGAGCTTTCCAGAAGTTCCATAAACCTTCGAGAAGATTAAAGAACATCGCATAAATTCCAAGAACTCCCCCAGAAGATGCGAGAACTTCCAAAAAACTTCCCATCCCCGAGAGCTTTCCAGAATTTAAAAAAGTTTGCTAGAAATTCCGAAGACCTTTTAGAAGATTTGCGAATTTCGCAGAAGATCTGAGAACTTACTAGAAATTTTGAGGACTACCCAGAAGCTTGGCGAACTGCACACAGTTTCCGGCAACTTCCCAGAATTTCCGACAGATTCAAACAAGATGCGTGCACTTCGAAGAACATCAGAGAACTACTCACAATTTTTGTCAGCTTCCTAGAAGTTCCTTCCAAGAACTGTTCAGAAGATCCTTGAATTCCTTGGAAATTCCGAGAACTTTCCAAAACTTCCCTGAAGATCAGTGATTTTTTTTTTTATATATCTTTATTAAGGAGACTTTCAGTCCTGGGCTGGTTCGTCTCCAAATATCAGTGAATTTTACAGAAATTCTGGGAACATTCCAGAATTCTGAGAAGTTCGCATAAGATCTGAAATTTTTCTACACATCCCAAGAACTTCTCAGAAGTTTAAAGAACTTTAAAATAACTCAAAGAACGTCCTAGAAATTTCGAAATCTTCCGGAATGTAAGATACTAGGATATTCTGAGAACTTCCCAAGTATTCTGAGAACTATCCAAATTTTCCTAGAACTTCCCAGAAGTTCCGAGAACTTCCCACAAGATTCGAGAACTTCGCAGAAATTACGAGAACTTTTCAGAAGCTTTTCCCAGAATTTTCCCGACCGTGAACACCCCGCAATTTTACTGACATTTTTGGAATTGTCTGTAATTTCCGAATTGATTTGAGATTTGGGTGTAATTGCATTTGTAAACAAACACGTCAATCGCCGATTTCTCATGAATTAAAGCTCAATCTCGAAAACTAATAGCACTATGAGGTAGAGGAATGATTCCTCTAGCATTTAGCATAGTTTTTTTTTTATGTGAGCTTTTATTCAAGAGAAATAGGCAATTGACGTGTTTGCTTACAAAAGCAATTACGTCCAAATCTCAAATTAATCCGGATTTCTCGGAAATTCTCAACAGTTCCAGCGATTAATTAAAGAAACTGCGATGAAGATATCTGAAGGGAAGTAAAGCCGTTGGTCCCCGGTCCATGAGTTGATGGGTTGATAGGTAGGGTCCAGGTGTGGGAGATGCCTCCCTGGCGTCGGTAGCATTGGTACTCAGTACGGAAAACAAGATCGACGGAAAACAAATTAAGGAAAACATAAGAAGTTCTTAGGACTTCTCTGAAGATCTGAGAACTTTGCGAAAGTTTTTGGAAATTCCCTGAGCTTCTAGTTACGTTAATTGCACTGCACTGAGATTATCTGATCTTCTCTGATGTACTTGAAGCTAGTTCATGCAGTTCTGATAATGTTCTGCACTTGAAAAATTTTCGAGAAAGTTTCCAAAATATGTATGAAGTTTTCTAAAGTTCTCTGGGCTTAAATTTTTCGAAATTTTCATCACATTCATGGAGTTATCCTGAATTTATAGAAATTATCCTTTGCAGATCTTTAAACTTTCCCAAAAGTCTGGACTTTCATAAAGTTATTGGGACTGTCCTTAAAATATCTGAGCTTGTCTGGAAACGTCAACAACTAGCTTGTCTGAGGTTCTTGGAATTTCTATAAAGTATCATTAAAGTTCTTTGGGCTTCTCTGATGTTTTTTTGAGTTCCATGAAGAACTTAGTACTTCTTAAAGGTTCCTACAGTTTCCATGAAGCTGATGGAACCACCTTGAAGCTTCCCTGAAGTGCAGAACATTTCAACAAGCTCAAGAAGTTCTCAGATTTTACCTGTCCATTACATTTTCCCGCAATTTCAAGTATTTCCTTATATTCCTCTGATCGTCTTTAAAGTTCCTAAACAATATTTGGATCACTCTAAAGTTCTCTAGTCTAGCCTGATGTTCTCTTGATTCTTCTGAGGATGTTTCTGGAACTGCCCTGAAATCAATTAAACTATCCTGAAAATCTCTTAACATCCCGACGTTTTTTTGTTGCAGTTTTTTTTAATTTATTGGAGCTTCTGTGAAGTTTCAGAATTGTTTTGTTGTGTTCTTTTAACTTCCCTGATGTTCTCTGAAAATCCTAAAGTTTTTAATCTGCTTGAAATTTCTCGCTATTTTTCTAATTTTAGCTGCCTTAAAACTCTCAAAACTTTCCTGAAGTTCCCGCAATTTCCCAGTTATTCATGAAACTATTTTGAGGTTCTTAGAACAGCCCCAAAGTTCACGCAACTTCCCTTGAAATCTTTAAGTCATTTAAAATCTTTAAACGTCTGATAAGCTCCGGCAATTTTCCTGAATTTAACGGAACAGTTCTTGAAATTTTCCTAAAATGTATGGAACTGCGCTGTGACCATTGGAACCTAATATTAAGGATCTTAAAACTTGTCTGTAGTTCTGGACGTTTTTGAAGCTCTCAAAGTTATCCTGAAGTTATCAGAAGTTCCTTGAATTTCTTGGAATTATCATGAAATTCCTAAATGTATGATTTCTGCTATTTTTCTTATGTATATCGGAAAAAGATTTGCAAAATCTGTGTTTACCATGCTGTCGACAGAAGCAGGCCACTTTCGATGTGTGTCACGCGATCGTCTGTTTACTCGGCAGCAACCATTGTGTGGTCCTCCCTCATTGTTCTTCATCAGCAGTTCTTTCGGTCGATGCGTCGTCGACTTTGGAAAGCAATCGTTTCGTGATGAGTGTGACCACGTTTTGCGTCCATTGCTACAATGGAAGCGCTCTGACCCCCGTTGGCGATACTGCCATACAATGAAACCACTGGTAGCGGATCCCGTTTCGATGTAGAAGGCTTATTGGATAGCAGAAGATAAAGTGTTTGACTACAGTTTTAAGATGTTTTATATAGTGACCAAAAATCCTCGGCTCTGTAAAGTTAATTCGATTGAGCTTTATCAAGTAAATTAATTAAAAAAAAACTGTTTTTTATATTTTATTTATAGAAAATTTACGTGTAGACCAGAAGTGACGTTTTCGTGCTACAATTTATTGAAAAATGTCAAAGACGTCATTTTGAAAAAGAAATACGATTCAAAATGGCTGAATTTTTGAAAAAAAACATGTGAATGATTGCTCATAAAAAATATGCAAAGTTTCATGCAAATTGAAGCAGTAATTGTTTTTTTTTTTGTTATTTGGCCTACTGCTCAAAAGGCTTTTATACAGAGCAATTAAATAAAAGGTCAATGCCGTGCTCAGTGATTTGCAGGGAAACTACTTAATAGAAAATTCTTATTTTAAAACAATTCAATTCTGTCTATGCTTATCAAAAAAAATATCACTGTATTCGCACCGACAAATAGCCATACCACTCGGAATGTTGACCATCGGGATTCAGGCATGTAGCGATTGATTAGAATCAAAGACATCATATTATCCAAGTGACAGATACAGAAGCAACGTATAGCAAAATGAGCTAATGCACAAACCTTTCTTCTGAGGTTGTAATCTTTGCCATCAAATTCGTTCGAAGCATTTACCTTTGCACGGTAGATGACGCGATTGTGCCTGTCTCATAGTGGTCGTGTGAGAAAATGGAAGAGTTGCCAGTCTTCTTGATGTGTTGTCTTTGCTAAAGTGTTAATCAGTTGTCAATATTTCCGCGGTTGGTAAACTCAGCTCCTATGGAATTTGATGTTTGAACACTGCCACCTGTTGAGCTTACTACCCGTCATACAGTCCCTGGTCGACACACAATGACAAATATCCAATGAGTAATGTCTGTTTGTCAGTGCTATTTGTATCTTTGATTTATTTTAAACTTCGTTTACAACTGTAAATATGTTCGTTGTTTTGTTCAATACGTTGTGATGTGGATTTCTATGTTTTGGCAGTCAATTTGGTTATTAATCGGAAAATTACTCATACATATGTCAATCATTCGAAATTTACACTTATACACTATACGTTTCAATCTAAGTTATTGTGCTAATCGTTCGTGTTAAAAAAAACATCATTTTTGGTTCATCGTTACAAACCTGTTAGTATCGGTTTCACATCGGAATTCATGTTGTGTCTAAAAAGATTGAATCGCCTCCAAAATTCGCACTCGAAATACCTCTCTTTCTCTCTCTGTGTGTGTCTCTGTCTCTGCATATCGCCTCCATCATCTTGCGCTAGTAGTAGACATTTGATTTAACGAAACCAACACACAGAACCAATATTTTTCTCTTTCTTTTTTCGCTCCCTCAACGCCAACCGTACGTGCATCCCTCCCCATGTGTATCCGCGCGTAGGTCGACCGCCGATATGGAAATATCCGGCCATTGTTGCATGCAAACGATCCTTCTAAAACCCCAATAACCTCCTCCACTAGTACTACCAATACCGCTACTTCTACTACCACCCCCACCAACACCAATGCCACCATCATTAGTTCTTCTACCTCGGCGGCCGCTGCCGGTACTAACATCAAATCGACGACGCCACTTCCGGCTACGAAGAGCTACATTCCGGTTTACTCGCCGAGTTCGTACGGTCTCCCGTTCGGATCGAAGGAACCGTCACCGGAGAAACCCCCGGTTCCGACGAGTCGGTCAACGACTCCCACAACCGGTCATCGGAAGTCGGTCAGTTTCGACCTGGACGACACGGAGTGTGAACATCGGAAAGCCATGGCCGCCAATGCCGAACGGGAAGCCCAGATACGGCAGTGGAAAGACGCGAACAACAATGCCGGGGTGGGTCAGTTGAAGGGTATTTTAAGAAGCGGGAGTCCGACGGCTTCCAGTCGAAGTCGAAGCACAACTCCGGAAGAGGAAAGGGAACAACGAGCAAGATTGCGTTATGTGAGGGGGGACGATCAGGTTGAGAGAGAAAGCCAGGAAGATGAAAGTGAGACTGAGGATGATGAGAGTGAAACGGAGGAGGAAACAGAGGAAGAACAGGGCAGCGAGATTGAACGAGCGAATCCATTTAGAAAGGAGTTTCTGAGGGAAGATAGGAATGCGAATAGGGAAAGTTCGCCAAGGCGATCGCCACCGCCTCGACCGCCGAAATCGTATTTGAAGAAGGCGGAGATTGTACGGAACGAAGGGCTAAGGAATATGGCGGACGAGTGGGGCCGAGGAGATTTCATTGAATATGAACACGATCCTCAAACCAATACCGTTCGGGAAGTGAGAAGTTCGACGCATAGTTTGGTGAGTCGTAGCACGGAACGGTTACCGGACTACGAGAAAATTGAGTTGATAGCGGCCAAATTCGACGTGCTGCCATCGACGAAGCGAGCGGAGTTTGTTCATGAGAATTCCACTAAGAATGCGTTGGTCCCCGAAGAAACCCATCGACAGGTATTATTGGAAGAGAATAGAATGCGAAACGAGATGTTGTCTCGATCAACCAACCCGTTCCTAGACTCTGGCTACGACCAGGAGTCCCAACATTCCGTCTCCCCTGTGCCACACCCACATTCACCAATGCATTGGTCCGGTTCGACTGGTCAGCTGCATCCACAGATTTACCCACCGATGCAAGTATTCCCCGTACACTATTCGAAGCTTCCTACTCCTCAGCACACGATGTACACCTACACCCCCCAATCTCCGATGCACCATCAGCAACAACCTCAACAGCCCTACGGCATGCCAAGTTACAACTACATGGTGAGTGACCAAAGCCTATTAAGGGGCGTAGTCTCTCCAACTTCCTCTTCACAGTCGCCATCGATTGGGTACTACACACAAGCACTATCACTTTCACCGCCACCACCACTGCCTCAGATGCAACCACCGATTCTAGGAGCTCAGTATCAGCAACTACAGCCCCAGCAATTGCAGTTTACACCAATACCAATATCATCCTCTTCACTGGGTTATCCTAGTACTACGTATAGTAACACCGCTCATCATCATCATCATCATCTTCACCATGGTCATGAAAGCCACCTACATCATCATCCCCATCGTAGTAATAACAATGGAAATGGCAACAACAATAATAGCACTCTAGTACCACAACCACCACCACCATCATCTCTGTCATCAACACCTACTGCTACACTGTCATTAGGATATGATCACTCTCAGCGAAAACAGCACCAGCAGCAGCAGCACCAACAAGAAAGACAGGATCAGCAACAGAACCATTCTAGTACTACTGTTAGTAGTAGTAGCAGTAGCAGTAGTGTTCCATCGAATGCTTTTAGCAGTAGTGCTGTTTAGTTTTAGGATAATTTGTGCTCTAATTTCTTAGTGGCTAACCAGGCTGGATGTGGTACTAGATTTTGTTTAATCGTCAACGAATTTGAAACGAAAATCCAACCGAACGTTCTAGTACTACGGCTTTTGATAAAATAGGACAATGTTTTAACCAAACCATTCCATTCATTGTAGCAGATCAACGCATGTTTTTACTTTCGTCGAAGCAGTCAGCTTTAGTTTTTTTTTTTTTTAATTGCATCTCTAAATTATATGTATTTATACTTAGTTGTACGAATTACCGATTCAAAATATATTCTATTGCTGAAAACAACAGAAGCGAAGCTTTCAAATTGACAGAGAGTTTACCGTGTTATTTGGTGGTTTGAGTTACATCCCTTTTCTGTTTTGTTGCACATCAAATTCTATGCTTGCGAATGAATAAATTTAATTGCAACGACACTCAGTTCACTGAAGCTAATTGATAAACGCCCTCTACATGGCTGGAGAATGAAAATGGCGCGCATCCCGCCGACCGAACGAGCGTTTGCAGGGGCCGCACGATGACCAGGCCGCGACTCACGCCCAATGCAGGCTGATTTGAATTCTCAAATTTACCTTCCTTAGATTTTGATTCTCTAATTATGTTAAAAATCGAACCCGGAACCATCCAGACTAATCCATTCTCGATTTGATCTTTCCCCAGTCTCCTCCGCCAGCGCCAAAAACACCGAAGAGTGTCTCCGACAAGAAGCGGTTCTTCGAGAATGCGATGGAAGACCAGACCAAGCAGACGCCCAAGCCTGGTAAGTGGGCATCAGCAACTTGATATGCACGGCCGACTGAACGAACGGAAATTTGAGCTTCGTTTAGTCAAATTCGCGGCCGTTGGTCCCATAGAACGTTATTGAATGTTTTTGGAATCGTTCCGAACTTAATTTTGAGTCGTTCTCATCGGCCGTGTGTCATACAAAAGTTTCGTTCGATTCTATTACAATCTTTCCTTCTCATTCGCAGAAAAAGTATTCTCATTCCTGTCGCAAGACGAAGTCGAAAAGCTGAAGCAGGAAGAGGAGCGCAAAATGGCCACCCTCGGTCGGCGGCGGTACCAGGAACGGGCCTACGAACCGGAAGACGATTACGGTTCCGGCGACGAGGAGCAGGAGATTCGCGAACGCTACGCGAAAGCCGACGAGAACGATAACGACATGAGGTGATTATTCCCCTTTTATGTCCCTTGTGTGTGCCCTCTAAAACTCCGAGTATGAGTGTTTTCCCTTTCTCTCCCTCTGTGTCACCTCTCTACCTATTTGTATCGCGCTGCGCTGATTTGTTGTTTGTGTTTGTGCTGCGTGCGAGCGTGCGTGTGGATGCAAGTTTGTTTCCTTTAATTCTTTCACTATAGTTTTAGTTTCTCTTCGAAATCTATTACTTTAATTTTCTTTCCTTTATTACTGCTCCCATTTGAATAGGTCCTAGCGCAAAACCGTAGTCCTCTAACCACCTCTGCTCGAGTGAATAAGTCGTACTAGAATAACGCAAAATACCAACCAGAAAAGGCTGTAGAATAGACTAACACTGATAAAATAAAATCCATTCTAATCTAGTACTTCCTGTAACATAGAAAAAAAATAACAACTAAGCTTAAAGCAGCAACCAAAAAACAACCGCAGCATGTAAGAAAACCCGAATGGCAAAATCTCCTGGTGCATGCGTGCCATCCTCGTTTCTAGACAATCTTCCAGTACTATTTTTGTAGAATAAAACCCGTTTTTTGTAAAGTGCGTTTTTTCGATGTTCGATCTGTTTGAGCCCGTTCTAGTACTTCAACCAAAAAAAAAGGAGAAGCAGTCTTTTTACATTTTTTTAAAAATCATTTTCCACCTTTTCCCCACATTTAGGAACGCACTTGAAGAAATTGAAGCTGTACTTAGAAGTTGAAAGTCGCTCCTCTTGCGAGCGCAAGCGCACAAAACAATCTCTCTACCTACTGCTACTGCTACCATCTACCGCTACTTCTACTTATTATAATTCTACTGCTAATACTACTACTACTACTACTACTTCTAGTACTACCCTGTAAATGCTTTTATTCTGGATTTTGCGTACTGTGCTCAGTTTGTATTTAAGAGAAAGGCGTTTCATCAAACTACAACGTACGTGTTTAGGTGTTAGGCGATAGGAACCGACCTGCCCTCCTGCCCCTTCCGCCAAACAGGACAATCAGATCAACATTTCGAGAGCAACATTTCCCCCACTCTTACCAGTTAGAATCACGGAAGGCATTTTTTTTAAACAATAGACGATAGTTGGTATTAGTTTCGTATGACGTCCAACATTCTCGATTTAAGTGGGCGAAAAAAAAAAGTATTATTAGTTTTATGATGTTTGTTTCCATCACCGCCACCCCCCCTCCTGCTAGTCTAGTGAGTAAGGCAATTTGTTTGTTTTTGTTTAACTTTGGTGTTTTGAGTCATAGGGACCTATGTACAGAAATGGTGGCAGTGTTAAGCGGTCTTACGCAATTTTTTTGATTAAATGACCACCACAGAAAAAAATGGTCTTTGGAACCGGATTCCGGAAGATTTGGATGTTGACATCATGGTGAGGCTCGTTGGTACTTCACCGTACTCGTCATTGAACATTAGCTTGAACTGACGGGTTAAATGCTTAAGTTCCATTAGCGAGAAAAATTGATCTTCGGAACCGGATTCCGGAACATCCGATATGTAGCCTAAGTGGCGGTTGAACGTCCTAATACATTTGGGAAAAGTTGTATTGTCATTGCTGTTCGAAAATAACCAGATTTAATTTATTTGTAGGCTTTCCTAAGAGTTTCCGGTGCCTCAGAGACAGCGAGGTTCAAAACCGATTTACAAATGACGCGGGAGTTGTACTGCAAATCTTGGAAACTCTTAGGACAGTGGACATGCCTTGAAAGCTTTTCCTGGATCTGTGGATTTGCCCTGGAATTTGTACTGGATTTGTGATTTGATCGTACCTTGCAAGTCCTCGGTACGAGTTCTACAACTTCTCAGTCTGACCTACACTTTCCGAGTTTGGCAGAAGAAGTCTACTGGACTAGTTCTGAATGGAGATGTTAGTGAAAAGGACTACTAAAACAAGTAGGGGAAGAAGGGCCACAGTGGACAGATGGAGCACAATGATCATTCTTAAATTTATAATTGTTCAAATCAAATTAATTGGTAGTAGATTCAATATCAATATGATATTGAACCTACTACCAATTAATCTGTTTTGGACAATTAGAAATTTGAGACAGGATGCTCATTATGTTCCTCCTACCCCTACAAATCATAGTGGTCCAGAAATGAAAATTAGGAGAAAATAAATATGCTGATCCTGAAATTGTCACTTTACCAGTGTGTCTTCTGTGAGGTTGTAGCTTATAATAAGGCCTTTATAAAAGGATTAAACAAGGCACTTTCTTCAAATGTGCAATTTAATGAGTAGAAAAATAGTCGTAGAAGACAACTTCAACGTACAAATTAAAAAAAAGAGAAAGAAGTTATTCTAAAAAAAATTGTTTAGGGACACCCTGTCTTAAATCATAAAAATTGCTATAGTAAAATAATCATTAGCTTTACCGCTATAGTTTCTGCAGTCAAGTTTCTTAACATTACTTAACATGCAACTTTGTGGAAGGTTCCGTCATGATATAATCAGAAATGGAAAAGTTTGCATTTGCATCTTTCATCAAAACTAAAGGCCTTAACTTCTTACAAGCTATGCTGGTAAAGTTGCAATTTCTAGATAAACATCCTCCTAATTATCATTCCTGGACCACTTTGCATATAATACGTCGAGCACACATGTTAGCAATACAAAAGAACCTAGAACAAGGAGAGATGATCGGGTTTAGCCCAAAGCTCTAAAAGTCCCCCATACGGTTCTGGAGCCATCTTCCAAAGCCCAAAAATCGCTGGAAGTCCTGTGAATTTTCCCATACAACTGTTTCTCTGCCGAATTTCCGCAAAACCCAGCCTCTCGTCTTGACGTCCGCTGAGACCCGGAACGATGCCTAATAAAAATCTATGAAAACTTCCAGGAAAGAGCAAAGCTCCGTGGACTCCAAGAACCAAAATTTTTCAATATCAAGCCTAAACGACCTTCAGGACGAATATTTTTCGATTTACTGTAACTCATCGGACCCGTCATCGTAGATCTGAATCTCGGCCTCAGACGATCATGGAATTGGCCTTTCAAGTCTTCTGCCATTTCCCAAACCTGTTATCCAAGTTCATCAAACTAGAGATCATTTCGGGAAACTTCCAGGGACTTCTAGGACGATTTCAGCGAGTACTCTACAAACGGAGAACTTCAAAGACATTCTCAGAGGATTACAAGGCGTTTCGACCTTCAAGATTTGTTCAAGAGACAGTAGGTTGTCAGAGCTAAGTCCAACAGTAATCTTGGAATGTAGTTCAGATAACTTCTGAGAAAAGAACTAAGAATGTTGTGACCTTCACCTTAACCTTCAGTGATCTCTTGATGTTTTGGGCTCCTGCCGTCAAAATCATTTCTCAATTACTTTTTCGAAGGAACGTATCAGCTTTTGTAAACAATGCGTTTGATCGTATATTTTGAGTAACTGGTGGCTCTCCCACGCATGCTAACACTACCATTAGATGGGGGAAATTTCACCTTACCTGGACTTCCTTACTGGATATGTCTCGGAGAATTCTGAGATCAGTTCGTTAAGTCCCAATACCGCAGCTGAAGCTTAAAGTACTCGAAAACTTCCTAACCTGACAACCAAATGTCTGGATTTGTTCTCGAGAGAACTTCAACCTCCAAAGGAATGTCACAGAAGTGAGCTAAACTGGTCCCCAGAGAACCTCAGATTGGGTCCAGAAACCCATCAAAGCACCTCCGCCCTTGAAGGGTCCTCTGAACCCGTCAACAAAGTTAGAAGGCTTCCACAAGAGATTTCCAATGGTATCAAAAATATAAAAGTTCAGTCATTAGACGATTCGATCGCTAGACAAAGTGGTCAGCTTAGGGAGGAGGCGGAATTCAAAGGGCTTCCAGTGTAAATCTACTGAAATGTCGAGGTTAGAATTTTTTTAAGACTTTGGAGGATAATTCCAAAGGATAACTGACTGGGAAATGCCTCAAACAACGAAACATGTTCCAAATAGATTCATGGAGTTGATGATATGACATACACTCTATGAACTTTGTTCAGTATACCAGTCGTGGTCGGAAAACACTTTTAGAATAATCTTCTGGAAAAAAAAACTTCTAGAAGAAACTTCGATAAAAAGCACCTGGAAGAAACTTCTATTGGAAGTTCCTGGAAAAATAATTTCTATAAGCTCCTGGAAGAAACTTCAATAAGGAGCTTCTGGAAGGAACTTCTAGAAGAAGCTTCTGGAAGAAACTTCTAGAAGAAGTTTCTGGAAGAAACTTGCAAAAGAAGTTTTTGGATGAAACTTCTAGAAGAAGCTTATGGAAAAAAATCTTATAGAAGAAGCTTCTGGAAAAAACTTCTAGGAGAAACTTCTAGAAGAAGCTTCTGGAAGAAGCTTCTAGGAGAAACTTCTAGAAGAAGCTTCTGGAAGAAACTTCCGAAAAAAAAAACTTCTGGAAGAAGCTTCTAGAAGAAGCTTCTGGAAGAAACATCTGGAAGAAGCTTCTAGGAGAAGCTTTTGTACGAAACTTCTAGAAGAAGCTAAGAAGCTTCTGGAAGAAACATTTAGAAGAAACTTCTAGGAGAAGCTTTTGTACGAAACTTCTGGAAGAAACTTGTAGAAGAAGCTAAGAAGCTTCTAGAAGAAGCTTCTGGATGAAAGATGAAACTTCTAGAAGAAGCTTCTGGAAGAAACTTCTAGAAGAAGCTTCTGGAAGAAACTTATTGAATATGCTTTTGGACGAAACTTCTGGAAGAAATGTTGAAGAAGCTAAGAAGCTTCTAGAAGAAGTATCTGGATGAAACTTCTAGAAGAAGCTTCTGGAAGAAACTTCTAGAAAAAGCTTCTGGAAGAAACTTGTAGATTAAGATTCTGGAACAATTTTCTAAGAGAAGCTTTTGTACGAAACTTCTAGAAGAAGCCTCCGGAAGAAACTTGTAGAAAAAGCTAAGACTTCTAGAAGAAGCTTCTGGAAGAAACTTATAGAAGAAACTTCTGGAAGCAGCTTCAGGAAGAAACTTCTGGAAGAAGCTTCTGGAAAAAACTTCTACTGTGTTAC